TAAAAATAATTACAGGTAAATAGGTCACAAACGGGAAAACCCAGAGGAAGGGCAGTGGATTCAGAGTTTGGAGGATGTCACCAAAGACCTGGGATCATTCCCTCTCTCTGTTCTGATGGGCTCACTGTGCCTTTGAGTGGGACCCGGCGACTCCAGTGGCCCTGAGCATTGCATCTGGACAGAACAGTGTGTCCAACTAAGAAAGAGACAGCAGGTCTTCCCATCCCAAGATCTCTTCCTTATAAGAGGGGGGCTTCCCCCCACTACTCTGTGGTGCTGGATATTTCTCACTGGCACCCCCAGACCCACTGTCCACGTTCTCCAGTCTGTCTTGTGTCCAGGGGGGCGAGCTCTGCAATGGTGTCAATGGGCTGCTTTGCCTCTTTGTTGCCAAGTGACACGGCCAACAGACATCAGAGAACAGGAGATGGGGGAAGAATGAAGTCGAGCCATTTAAGCCTCCCAGTGCCATCTCTACTGGGTCACCACGGGTGGGTGCTCTTTGTTTGTTTATTTGTTTAAAGGATTTCTTTTGTTCCTTTTTTAAAAAGATTTCTTTCTTTATTTTTAGAGAGGGGGGAAGGGAAGGAGAAAGAGAGGAGAGAAACATCAGTTGCCTCTCACATACCCTGAACCAGGGACCTGACCTGCAACCCCGGCATGTGCCCTGACTGGGAATTGAACTGGTGACCCTTTGGTTCACAGACCAGTGCTCAATCCATGGAGCCACACCAGCCAGGGCTGCGCATTTGTCTGTTCTCAAACGCAGTAAATGATGGAGTGGGAGAGGGGCAAGTGCATCAAGGGAGTTAACACCAATGATGAACACTAGGGGATATGACCCAATGGTGTGAAATTCAAAGCTGGGAGGCACAAGGGAAGGGGAAGGAAGCCATGAGGTCAAGAAGAACATCAAGTCCCATTCCTAGTATATGAGTAGTAGGAGAAAAAAGTAGCCAGGCTTTTTGAGGCTTCAGAGAAGCAGTGACCTCAAGAGAGGCCCAGGTTTGGGCTGAAGAAAGAAGGAAAGGGAAGCTTGAGAGAAGAGGCTGAGGGTCTGGGAGACTGTGCTGGCGATGAACTACGAAGTCCAGAGGCCAGAGGCCCAGAGGGAGAGGCCGGTGGACAGGGAAATGGGGCCAGGAGAGGGGACACATACAGCTTCAGCAGGATGTGAGCACAGGATGTGAGGGGTGATGTGGAAGTCTAGGTTTCTAAGGGTCACTGCTTAGAAGCTGGGAAAAAGAGGTCCTGCAAGAAAGCAGAAAAAGTGCAGTTCGTTCATTAAATGGCACTGTTAGACTGTGTCTGATGCGAATGGCAAAAATGTGTCATCACAGGTGAGTCCCTTTATATCTGGGTGAAACTGCCAGTGCGTGAGGCCCTCCTGTTGTTAACACAGCGGCTCCTAAAAGTTGTGTTTTCTGACTTTTTAAAAGCTAGTGCAAGGAAATATAGTTGATATCCTATATTGATTCGTAGCCCCTCTCCTTGAGCAGCTACCTCATTAAATTTAATAATTTGGCTGTACACTCAAGTGTACAAGGTCCGTCCAGAAAGTATATAGCCATACACTATGAAAAAATAGAAACATTTATTTTATTTTATTTTTTTTTAAAGATTTTATTTATTTATCTTTAGAGGGGAAGGGAAGGAGAGAGGGAGAGAAACATCAGTGTATGGTTGCCTTTCATGCGTCCCCTGCTGGGAATTGGCCTGCAGGGAAATGGTCTGCAACCCAGGCATGTGCCCTGACTGGGAATCGAACCTCAACTGTCTGGTTCGCAGGCCCGTGCTCAATCCATTGAGCTACACCAGCCAGGGCTAGAAACATTTATTGAAGAAGATACAAGAAACATTGTACATAGGACAATGACGCCTCAGTCCCCTTCAAAGTAGATCCCTTGGGACCTCACACAGCTCTCCCAGTCACCATCGGCTGCCCCGTTGTATTTTCCTGAATCTCATCAGTGATCTGAAATCTTTTCCCTCTCAAAGGTGAATTTAGTTTTGGGAAAAGTCAGAAGTCACAGGGTGCCAAATCTGGGCTGTAGGGGGCCTGAGTCACCGCCTGGTGATCTGAGGTTTCGCCAAAGGACTCTACACCAGATGTGACGCGTGAGTGGGCATGTTGTTGGGATGAAGCTGCCAATCACCAGTTGCCCACAGCAGTGGCCTCCTGAATCATCCAAATAGTTTCTGTGGAGGAATGCTCAAGCTTAACACAAAATCTGGTGCAGAGTCATTGCTCTACTCACTCAGTCATTTTGAGTGCGATGGCCACACAGCACACATGCTCACTCAACAGTGTCTACTGCCCACACCGACCAGTACAGTGAAGTCATCACCTTTCACACATGTGCATTCCAGTCCACTCCCCTTGGCTGCCAGGTTACATCAATGTCGTGCAAACAGTTCTCATTAGATTAACAATGGCTGGACTTTTTCTGGACAGACCTTGTATTTTCCACATAGACAATCATGTGGGGGAGCTTTGTCCAGCAGAGCCCCCAGCTGTCATAGATGAGAATAAGTCTATCAAGACATGATCTGCTTAGGGAAGAAAGGTGGCCAATCTCTCAAAGGAGAAGGGCCTTGAGCCTGTTCCCGAATGGGCTTTTATTGGGTTCAGTTTGCTCAGGAATACAGGTAAAGTACATTAATCATTGTCCGGCAGTAAAGATCAAGCAATAGATAACATACAAAGAACTCTGAGAGCTTATTCTGAGTCAGGGTCAGATAGCTAAAGGGCCATAAAACTTTGGGAAACAAACTCGTTTTATGCTGGGACACTTATCAGAAAATTGAGGACATTCTTAGCAAAGCAGGTTTCACAGGATTTTATGCATTCTTTCTTAGCCCTGATAACCCTGGGGAACTGCCTGTTCCTGCCCAGGGCCACACCGCCCTCTGTCATTGTTTCAGGCTTGAGTCAGGCAGGGGAAGTAAGGCAGCCAAGAGATTAAAAGACTTCTTACAGACAGAATGAGGACTCAGGCTACATCAAAGTCAAGGAGTGAGGGTCCATTACTCCCTTTTTCTGTAGCTCCCCCACCAAGTCTTTCCCTGATGGCCCCATCGTGACCATGCCTGTCTTGTTTTCGGTCATCCCTCCCTTGAGGAATCTTAACTCGTCATTGGCTAACCAGTCATCTGCCCGAGGCCGAGCAGGGTGAAGAGAAAAGGGGCAGAGGTGGCGCCCCTACAAGGAAGATAAGCTTTGTCTTCTAAGTGGCTTATGGTCCCAAGGTCTTTTACTCAGCCATGGTTAGCCATGTGGAGTTACAGCTTCTGAAACCACGCAGGACAGTTCCCAGCACCTATGAATGGTGGTTTTGTTTCTCCCTTTTCAATTGTATACTCTTTTATCTCTTTTTCGTGTCTGGCTTCACTTGCCCAGGGTGGTGTTTAACTGAAGGAATGATAATAGTGCTCTTGTTCTTGACTTTAAGGTGAGAACTTGCAACATTTTGCCATTAATTTAGTTTGCTATAGTTTTGGTAGATACCAAGTTAAGAAAGCTCACCTTCAACTCTAGTTTGCTAAGAGTCTTTTTTAAAAAATCACAAGTGGATGTTGAATTTTATCAAGTGCATTTTCTGTATTTGTTGACATGATCTTGAGAATTTTCTCCTTCGATTCATTAATGTGGTAAATTACCTTCAGAAAATGTCTATTCTTAAACCACCAGTCCTGGGTGTCTATTGCCACACCACAAGTGACTCCAAAACTAGTGGCATAAAACAATTATGATTTCCTTATACCTCATGATTTTGTGGGCTGGGAATTTGAGGGCACTCAGGAGACTGACTCTTCTGTTCTGTCACTCAGTGGTCACTCAGTGGCGTTCATCTAATGAGCGGTCTGGTCTGGACAGTCCACGATGGCCCCCCACATGCCTGGCAGGTTGTGGGGCGCAGTTGGGAGACTGAGATCCACGGGACGCCCTCCTTCTCCACGCGCGCCCTCCACTCGGAGAGCTGGACTTCTTTCCACGGCAGCTCAGGCCATGCTCAGAGCAGGCATCCCAAGAGACAAGCCGTGGAAGCCGACAGCCTTTTAAGGAAAGGAAACCGACACCCCATCGTTTCTGATCTACGTGATGCTCGCAACAGTCAGAACCCACGCGGATTCGGAGGGAAGGCACACGCGTCCTCACTGCTGAACAGTAGGAGTGTCAAAGAGCCCTCACACCGCCCTTGCACTCTGGGGACAAACTCAACTTGATCCAAATTTATATTTTTACATACTCCTCTCTCCCAGTTTATTAATATTTTGCTTTAAAATTTTTCACTTATGTTCACAAGTGAGGTTGGCATCTAATTTTTTTCTTTCTTGTACTGTCCTTGGTGTGCGCCGTATTGAGGTTACACCAGAATTATAAAATGAGTCGGAGAACAATCTCTAATATTGTGTGTTTTAGAAGAGCTTAAGATTGGAGTAATCTGCTTCTGCAATTGTATTTGCTAAATCTGTTCTTTGTGGAAATATGTCAACTCACAGATTCAATTTGTTTAGTGGTTATAAGATTGCAAGTTTTCCACTTCTTCTTGAAGTCGGTTTTCTAAATTATGTTTTATAAATTTGTCTATTACTGTAAATTTTTTGACTTATCAGCATAAAGTTGCTCTTGGAAGTTCTATTACTTCTTAGAGTTTTTGCTACAAAATAAATCTTGCACAAGTATAACGGTGCAAGCAATTTAAAGAATCATGATAAACTGGATTCTCGTTTATTCCTGTTTATTCCCATACTCACAACCCAATCTGAGAAGTTAAATATCACAATTTCCTGTCACATCACTTCCCAGTCCATTCACAGCCAATACACTGTGTTTTTCTAATTCACCCTCCTGCTTTTCTTTATAGCTTTATCATATGCGTGTGTTCTTAAGCAATGTATTGCTTAGTTTTGCCTGCTTTGAATTTTACATAATTACAAACACACTGTACGTATTTTTCTACAACTTGCTTTTTTTATTCAATATATTTGAGGGGGTGTATCATTCAGGAGACAGAAAGCACACAGAAAAAAGTTAATATAGAGAATTATTCACAAGCGCACAGGGCTTAACTACCAAGAGAGTTAATGGGGAACTTAAAGGGGCAGAGACTCATGGATGCGTGAAGTAGCTACTACCTCTGGGGCTGAGGAGTCTACAAGGAGGGAATAACTGGGAGGAGCCCTGCCCCCAACCAAGGCTGAAATCCCGCCCTCACTGGGGCAGGGGTTGGGGGGGGGCAGTGCAGTCGGCTGAGTGGCAGGGAAGGTCACAGAGGTGCCACCAGCCAGGAGGGAAGTGGGGTACCAGCTGCTGGGTGCCAGCACTCACCCCTGGGGAGACATCTGCTGGCTGCGTTGTGACAGAAGAACGAAAGCACCAGAACCAGGAAGACGCCCTACTTTGCTGATGTTTCCCACTGTTGCTAGACACCTGGACAGTGTCCAGTTTTCTGCCATCGTGAACCTGGCTGCTCTGGACACTCATGTCTGTGTCATCTAACTCAAGCGTGCCAAGGTTTCTGAGACAGCATTACCAACGGGCGTGTCGACAGGCGTGCACTCGAGTGTACAAGGGTGCGGTTCTTTCCAGCCCTGGGGGTGGCTGGGTGGGGCCTACTGTGTCCGGGGCCCCACTTCCTCCTCTTACTCAATGTGCTAAACTTTTGTGGTTTTTCTGCATCTCACTGTGTAAGGAGTTGGTAGATGCTGCTTCAGGGCTACTTAGGAGTGATGCTTTGGACTGTAGGGCATCAAAGTCCTGTATTCAGTGATAACTCCCAATGTTCCCCCTGCTCCTGCCCAAGCTGAGTGACAGCTGCCTCGTAACCTCGCCTGTACTTGGTACCCCGGAGACTGTCAGCCTGGCGGGCAAGGCTGTCCTAGGGGCCCCCTGCCTGTCTCCCCGAATACCAACCAGGGTGTATGTTGTGTTGTGTTTACAGACCAGTCGTGTCCTTCCCTCTGGGCTGCTTGTTCATGCATGTCTTTGGTTCGGTTTTTTATTTTCCTTATTAATAAGTAGGAAAGACCCCCTTTCTATATTGCGAATACAACTTATGTTTTGTCAGTCAGCGTTCCAGTGCAGAAGCTATTCTTGCTATGTCGAACCCTGAGGGATTTTGTGTTTATAGAATAATTGGAAGGACCGAAGACAGGGGCTCTCAACTGGGCTTTCAGAAATGACCTTTGAAACGCCCCTGCAGAATTCCCGCCACCCAGGACCTGACAGAGGGTGGAGGACCCTGGGCCCCAACCGCTGGCTCTCTGGTGGGACACCACCTTGGCGGTGCCTTGGGAAGCTGCCGTTGAGCGTGCTGGTCCTGGGAATCATTGTCTGGCGCATGCGGATAGGAAGTCAGCACCAGAACTGTTGGCCAAAGAGACCGCTGTGCCTGGCACGCAGCCTCTTGAGTGTTGTCCACACACATGACCATGACTCGGCCCCGCAGTCAGGCCTCACACAGCGCACGTGGCCGGTCAGACCGAAATCACACAGAACCCAAGCTACAAGCGAGCCCAGGGAACTGAGCGGTTCTCTCTCCAGCCTCTGAAGGGCATGGAAGCAAGAGGTGGGGTGAGGTGGGGGGCAGCCAGCTCGCCACGGCTGCCACCCCCACTCAGCCACTCAACGTCTACGTGTCCTCTTCTCATCCCCAGACACCCCAGCAACACATCAACAACCACACCCCCAGCCGAGTGTGGCTCTCTCACCTGCAAAGGTGAAAGCGCACGCTCCCTCTTGCAAAGGGAACAGTAATGACTCTGTTCCATTTGACGTCACATTCATTTCTGGCCGTTGTTCGTCGTCCTTTGGTTCGGTCCCAATTCCATCTTGATGTCCTGTAATTTACAGACTAAAATATGAGCCACCACCAGCACACCCTCTGCCAGGCTTTCTCAACCTTGACACTATTGGCAGGTAATTCTCTGTCAGGGGACTTCCCTGTGAACAGGACAAGGGACACAGCTCGGCCTCGCCCCCCACGAGAAGACCGCTCAGACGCCTGCCCGGGGCCCACGCCTGCACTGTGCGTAGCATTGGGAAGCGTAGCAGGGTCAGTCTGCTTGTCCGTCTTCCACACCGTCAGTCCCGGCATCTGGCCCTCTCCTCGGCCTCCCAAAGCACCCAACTTGGCACAGGACCGCTTGCGACAGACGGTCTTCCCCGGCTTCTCCCACGCTCCCCACTCAGGTGACACTGTCGTCTGTGGCTCCCCCACGTTAGGGGGCGCTAGCTGCCTCACCCCGCCTGCAGAGGGCCGGGCCCGCCGCCCCTGGTTAGTGTGGGAAGCCTCAGGGGTCTTGCGCCAGCTTCTGGAATCCCCGCCCAAAGGGCCTGGGAGGGGCGGTGCGCGTCTCGGTCCCCGCCCCGGGGGCGGAGCCGAGGTCCGCACAGACCTAGACCCAGACCCCGGGAAATTGGTCTGTGACTCCTTCCTCCACTCACGCCTGTTCCCTTCCCTTTCCGAGAGACCGATCCCTCACCCTCCGTCCGCGCTGGTGCAGGTGTGGCGCCCCAGGCTCATCCCCCTGGACTGCCATGGAACGAGGAGACACCCCGCAGGACAGGCAAGTTGGGGACCGAGTGGGTTGAGTGCAGAAATCTTGATGGCGGTAGGCGGCGCAGACCAGGTTCCTTCGGTCTCTCGAAGGCGCGAAGCTGGCCGGATGGAACTACAGTTCCCATCAGCCGCCCGCCTGCGCTGTCTTCGCCAGGGAGATGGGGGCTGTAGTCCGCTCCCCAGCGGGGGCGGGAGGGGCGGCCGAGGAGCTGCGTGCGTCCTCGGGGTGACCTTCTGTCTGATGCCCACAGCTACCACCTGGTTGGGATCAGCTTCTTTATCCTTGGGCTGGGCACTCTCCTTCCCTGGAACTTCTTCATCACGGCCATCCCGGTGAGACTTGCGGCTGGAGTGACAGCGCCACGGCCACAACCCCTGCCTGTCCCTCCGGCCACCTTGGACCCACCTTGGACCCGAGGCGTACCAGGCCTTTCCCTACCATGCGGCCTTTGCCTCCTCATTATGCCCGTGTGTCTGCCGAAGCGTGAAGCCTCTGAGAGGGAAGGTGCCCCTTTCAGGTCTAGGAAAGGCAAGCTTTCAGAGACGCGGGCGTCCTAGAGAGGCAAGACCACCAACTCAGGAAGCTGCGTGTCATTATTCTTGGGCTAGTCACCCCAAAACTGGCTGACCCAAGCCTTTGGTTTTCTTTGAAGTAGTACACATTACCCCCACCCATTCAACAGATCGTTGATGTGCACCTACTGTGTGCACATCACACAGGCCCCGCTCTGTGGGGGTGCGGGGCGTGCGGGAGGAGTCACTCCAGGAAGGCCCCCTGCTCACGGAGCTTGTGTCCTCCCTGGGGAAGGCAGAAGCGGAGGGCTTGGCTCCCTCGGCGACGGAGTTATTCCACACCAATTCCAGAGGCTCTTCAGTGCCTGGCTCTCTGCTGGGCCCTGGAGATGCAAAACTGAATCAGCCCTTGGTCCTGACAGCAGGATGGGCAGGTACCAAAGAGCAATTAATAAGGTACCATGACCTGGGGCACCCCAGGCTTGCAGCAGAGCCCTGTGGGTCCCCAGGAGGGGGAACATACCTTCTGCTTCAGAGAAGAGGTGATTTGTAACTTGGGAGAAGGCGAGTAAAGCATGTCAGGGGAGGCGAGAAGAGGGGAGAGCATTCCGGATGGAGAAGGCAGCCTGGCAAAGGCACAGACGCAGCAGGGTGCCAGCCTGCTCAGAAAAAGGGGTGCCTGGAGCTCAGTGGGACAAAGCCGGAGATGGGGCACAAAAGGGAGGTCGGGATCTGGTTCCAGAGGGCCCCAAATGCTGCTCCACAACTTGGAGGCTTTGCCCTGTGGGACATAGGGAGCCAGGGGTCGGGGGAGGTTGAGCAGGTCTGTGCTCCAGAGGATGCAGTTGGTCAGCACTAGGCCAGAGCCTGGCTTGCTGTGGTGCTCGGTAAATACTCAGGAAGCCAGAAGCAGAGTGGAGTGGGGGTGGGGGCTGGTGCCGGGGCAGGGAACAGGGGGGTGGTCTGGGGGGTGGAGCAAGGCCCCCGCTGCAGGTCCTTAGGGCCTGGGCTCTGTCCCAGACATCAGCCCTCAGCCGTTCAAACCAGTGCACGTGCACTGAGCTCCAACTGTGTGCCAGGTGCTGGGGACAGTAAAAGGACACAGACAGTCCCCACAGACGTTAACTGAGCCATCCTGGGGTGGGGGGTTTGCACAAGGAGGAAGCTGGGGGGGTCCCGAGAGTATGTTGTATGGTGACTCTGTCCCGTCTCTCCCGGCACCCTGGCAGTACTTCCAGGGGCGGCTGGCAGGGGCCAACAGCACCACCGGGACCTTGGGGACCAACCACAGTGGTCCCACAGACGCCTTCAACTTCAACAACTGGATGACGCTGCTGTCCCAGCTGCCCCTGCTGCTCTTCACACTTCTCAACTCCTTCCTGTACCAGTGGTGAGAGGCCCGTCCTGGGCTCCCACCCAGGTCATCCTCTGTTGTCCTTGTCCCCACCCCTGCTGAGACAGCTCCATCTGGGTCCGGGGAAGATCTCCCGTCCTTGCTCCACAACTCCTGCATCCCCCCCACTCTCACTGTCCAGCCCTGGCTCAATCTCTTGCTCGCCTTCCCTCTGCTCAGCTGGGCTCAGCCCACGCTCACTGTGCGCCCCTCTCGTGAGCAGCATCCCTGAGACGGTGCGGATTCTGGGCAGCCTGCTGGTCATCCTGCTGCTCTTTGCCCTGACGGCGGCGTTGGTCAAAGTGGACATGAGCCCTGGACCCTTCTTCTCTATCACCATGGCCTCTGTCTGGTTCATCAACTGTGAGTGCCACTGCCTGCCCCCCCACCTCCCAGCCCAGCCCACCCAGGGCTTCGGCCCAACCTCTCTTTTGTAACTGAAGGGACTGATGTATCCAAAAAGGGAAGACTGCAGCAGCAGCATCCATGTCCCTGAAGAGAAACTGAGGTCCCAAGGGAAAGGCGAAGTCCCCTGTGCCAGGTCCCACAGTGGCCTAAGAGGTGGCCCCCTGGCCCCGAAGCCTGCAGGTCTATGGATGCACCTCGGAAGAGGAGCGACCTGGGAAGGCGGGTTGTTACACCAGAATGCCAGGAGTCTTATGCCTGCCAGCCTTATCCAGAGTCCCTGTGCATCCTGTCGACACCTCCTCCAGGGAGCCCTGAGGCTTGCCTAGTTGAGTGGCAGTCCCCATTCTTGTCCCTCCACAGCGTTCTGTGCAGTTCTGCAAGGCAGCATCTTCGGGCTGCTGGGCACGATGCCTTCCACCTACAGCACCCTGTTCCTCAGCGGCCAGGGCCTGGCTGGGATCTTCGCTGCTCTTGCCATGGTCACGTCCATGGCCAGTGAGTAGACTTGGGTGGCCCCTGGGGTGAGTGCCCCAGGAGTGAGATGCCTTGGGTTATGGGTGGAGCCTGACGTGACGGGGTGCTGGGGATTGGGTTTGGGGTCGGAGGCAGGGCTCCCGGGTTCTGCAGTAAGAGAGCGACTGGGTGACGACTGGGGTATCGGGGGGCCAGGTGAGGGTTTCTGAGGCCAACTGGTATACAGTGGCAGAAGGTTGAGGCTGAGGGAAGGAGGGACAGGTTTGAGATCCAGATAGACTTGTGTTCAAATCCCACTTCCTCGGCTCCCTAGCGGGGTGCGCTGGGCGAGGCACCTAACCAGTGTTAGTTTCCCCGCCTCCCCACCGAGATGGTTATAGCTCCATCTTCAGAGTGTAAGGAGCATGCGGTAACAACGAGCACATAGTAGGTGCCCAAGAAAATGGCCCATAGGGAGGGTTGAGAGATTCCCAGGTTTGTCAGCGAGAGGAGTGGAAGGTGCCAGAGGTGAACCTGAGAAGGTCATAATGGGAAGTGGGACCAGAGTCATCATCCCTGTGGGAGCCAGTGGGACCAGCCACTGTGCCCCTGCAGCTGGAGTTTCTGCACAGGTGGTGTGGATGCCCAGACCTCCGCCCTGGGGTACTTCGTCACGCCCTGTGTGGGCATCCTCGTATCCATCGTGTGTTACCTGAGCCTGCCCCACCTGGTGAGCCTGGCCCTGAGCTCAGGGCTACACTTCAGAGCATCTTGGATACAGCCCAGACCTGAGTCTGAGGCCCCAGGAGAGGCTAGGGGAGGTGGAGGGGACCTGGGCCCAGTCCTGATCCCCAAAGGAGTCAGCCACTGGGGGCACCCCAGCTTCTCAGCCAAGAGGGTGTGGAGGGATGCAGACACCTGCACCAAGCCAGGCGGGGCCAATGCTTTCCTCCTGCAGGAGTTCGCCCGCTACTACCTGGCCAGGAAATCATCAACGGCTCCAGGTCAGGAGCTGGAGACCAAAGCTGAGCTCCTCCGGTCTGGTGAGCCCTGGGCCCTGCTGGGGGGTGGAGACCCGGGGAAGAGCCTGGAGCCACCGCCCCAGGGAAGTATTTCCTCTCTGTCCCCAACTGGAGCCCTCACCCCTAATAGCCTTGTGTGAGCAGAGGCAGAAGGAAGATCATGAACAGAGGCAGCAGGACTAAAGCTGTCCCCATTGCCCTCTGGGCCTCAGCTCCCTCCCCTACAAAACAGGGAGGTGGTAGAACCTCAGGTGTACAAGGTTTGGATCTAAATGCACTTGAGTTTGAATCCTGGCTTCATGACATCTGAGCTGTGTGGCCTTAGGCAAGTCACTTACCCCATCCGAGCCTCTGTTTTTTTTTTTTTGTAGAGCAATGGCAGTGACATAATCCACTTCAGGTGCTCAATGTGCCTGACACATGTATGTGCTTAATAAACAGTAGCGAAGCATACTTCCGTTGCTGGTTCTCTTTGCCTGAGCCTGGGGCTGAAGGAGGATCACTTATTTTAATTGCTGGGAATCTCCCTGCAATGGGCAAGGGTCACCGGCATGACCTTGCCCTCCCCTCTTGCCCCAGATGAGAAGAACGGGATTCCCAACAGCCCTCAGAAGGCAGCCCTGATTCTGGATCTTGACCCTGAGAAGGAGCCACAGCTGGAGCTGGAGGAGCCCCAGAAGCCAGGAAAACCTTCGGTTCTCATCGTCCTCCGAAAGGTTTGGCTTGGATAGAACCCACGGCCGCCATCCCCGGGGAAGAGAGGGCCGCTGTCTCCAGCCCTCTCCAAAGACTCAGAATGGAATGGGGTCTTAGTCCCACCATGTCCACCCCAAGGTGACGGGGACATTCACAGTAGGTCGGGGACACAGCTGAGCCAGGGCCCAGGTGCCCTACTCCCGGGCCAGGGCTTTCTTTCTTTTTAAAAAAATTGTATTTATTTATTTTTAGAGAGAGGAGAAGGAAGGGAGAAAGAGAGGGAGAGAAACATAGATTGGTTGCTTCTCGCATACACCCAAATGGGGACCTGGCCTGCAACCCAAGCATGTGCCCTGACTGGGAATCGAACTGGTGCCCTTTTGGCTTGTAGGCTGGCGCTCAGTCCACTGAGCCACACCAGCCAGGCCAGGCCAGGGCTGTCACAGGAGGGGTGGTGCTGAATGTGGGGCCCCAGATCTGCCCCACCTGCTCACACCCCTGCCTCCGGCTCCCAGATCTGGCTGATGGCGCTGTGCCTTGTGTTGGTCTTCACAGTCACCCTGTCTGTCTTCCCCGCCATCACAGCCATGGTGACCAGCTCCACCAGTCCTGGGAAGTGGAGTGAGTGTTGGGAAGGGGACCAGGCAAGGGAGTGAAGGGAGAGAAGGAGGAGCGGAGTCAGGACCAAAGGAGCCCTCTCTCTCTCCCAGGTCAGTTCTTCAACCCCATCTGCTGCTTCCTTCTCTTTAACACCATGGACTGGCTGGGACGGAGCCTGACCTCTTACTTCCTGTGGGTGAGCACACCTGGACCGGGCGATCTGATGGCTCTGGGAAGCAGGTGGGGATCAGAGGGTGTGAAAGGACACGGAAAGGTGATTTTCCGACGGTCTGACCGGTCTGGGCCTGGCAATGGGACAGCCCACCAGGTGGCAGTGAGCCCCCGGCCCCAGAAGCTCTGTCCGGTTGACCTGTGTCCTCAGCATTCAGCCTGGGGCCCAGCCCTCGGTGCTCAGAGGGTCACGTGGAGACTGCACCACGTGAGGGGGGGAACAAGACCCCAAGTGTTCAGATTGCTTCGAGCCAAGATGTTGCTTCTTAAGTAAAATCTTTCAAGAAGACACAACAAAGTAGATCAAAGCAGAGGTGCTCTGACCCCAGCAGCAGGGGGCCTGAATCCCCAACTTCTAACCCTGTCAGCAGCCGCATCCTCCCCAAAGGGGTCTGTGGAACCCCTGGGGGTGTTTGGAGGAGCTGAGTTTGAAAACCAAAGATGCTGTCTAGGGCCTCTTCCAGTTCTGCTGGGGAGACACCACCCCTGGAGATGGGGAGAGCAGAGACTGGCCCCAGGCTGGTTCTTGATGGCTAGGGGGCCTGGGCCCAGTCCCTTGCTCCGCAGAGGCCCCGGAGCAGGGTCCTCGCTGGCTCACATGGGGTAGGGAAGGGAGTGACGGGTCTGTCTTGGGTACTGCTGGAGCAGAGACCTGCTCCCAGGGACCACCTGACTCCAGTTTCTGCCACAGCCGGACCAGGACAGCCGGCTGCTGCCCCTGCTGGTCTGCCTGCGCGTCCTGTTCATCCCACTCTTCATGCTGTGCCATGTGCCGGAGAGGTCCCTGCTGCCTATCCTCTTCCCACAGGACGCCTACTTCATCACCTTCATGCTGCTCTTCGCTGTTTCCAATGGTTACCTGGTGTCCCTCACCATGTGCCTGGCGCCCAGGTCCGCGGTTGTGGGGAGGTGGGGAACAGCCTGTGAGGAAGGCTCTTCCTGCTCTGCCCAGCCGGGCCCCAGCTGTCTCCAGGCCACCCTACAGGGTCAGGACCTAGGGAGGTGCCTGTCTAGTAAAGCCACCCAGGCACTGGTTCCAGGGCCTCCTCTCTGGGCCTCAGCTTCCCCATCTGTGAAATAAGTGGGTTGGCCTGTCATTCATTAGGGCCCGGCTACTACCAAAATGACCAGTTGAAGGGGAGCTGAAGTTTTGCTCAAAAGCAGAGTTCGTAGGCTATTAAGGGACACTGGAGTTGAGAATCCAGAGAGGTGATGGGGGGCAGTGTGGGAGCATTTTATTAAGAGGGAAGGCAGCCCCAGAGATGTCCTTGTCCAGAGGCCTCACTTCACCAACCAGGAAGCCGAAGTCCTGAGAGAGGGGCCCAATCACCGTGAGCCGGAGCTTGGGTCCATCCGGACCAGAACTCCCGTGTGTTGTAAGGAGGGCAGGGGGCACAGACCAGGTTCGGCTCAGTGTTTTCTAAGTGCCCCTACCCCTGTGTGTTCCAGGCAGGTGCTGCCACATGAGAGGGAGGTGGCTGGTGCCCTCATGACATTCTTCCTGGCCCTGGGGCTGTCCTGTGGAGCCTCCCTCTCCTTCCTCTTCAAGGCGCTGCTCTGAAGGCCCTCGCCAGGGCTCTGCCAACAGCTCTCTCCTCTCCGCCCCGCCAGAGCCGAGACCCAGCACAAAGGGATGGCGAGCTGAGCTCAAGGTCTGGGGATGCTAGGAAGAGGCGGGTGCTGTCTGCTCCCTGGGCTGCTGGCGGCCCCTGGGGGCACAGCAAGGAAGAATTCACCACCAGTCATTCCCGCCCTCGCCCAGGACGGAGGCGACACACAGAGACAGACTATCTACGGCACATAAGAGCTTATCGAAGAAGGGCAGCCAGGGAAAAGAGGGCCAAGGGTCATGGCCCTTCCTCACCATCAGGAGCGCATTTACGTGTTCATCACAAGAAATAAACCCGCTCATCGAGGGGCATCAGAGGCCACAAGCAGCCACTTGCTGAGAAAGTGGGTGGTGGGCCAGCCCAGGGCAGGAGCTCAGCAGCTCTGCGGTCAAGTTTCGGACCCCAGGACAGGATGGGGGGTGGTGGTGAGGGGAGCAGGGAGAAGGAAAAGGCGTCAGGGAGCTGAGGGCGCTCAAAGCACCGTCTGGGCATCAAACAGTGTTTTCATTGCCAGCACTTAACTGTGTCGGCCTCCCCCAGAGCTCGGCGGGGCGTGCGTGCGTGCGTGCGTGCGTGCTGCGTGCGTGCACCGTGCCCTGCAGTTGGCACAGCTCTGCCACGCCCACTTTCCCACAAAGTTGCCTTGAGGCCTCAGAAGGAGCCAGGCAGGGACTGTACCCTCCCCCTTCGTACAGGTGAGGAAACTGAGTCCTTGGAGAAGTGACTGGTCTGTGGCAGAGCCGGGACCCAGCCCCCCACCTCCCTCCTCGCAGGTGCTGTTCTTCCCGCCCATTTCTGCTTCTCCTCAGGGGGCTCCAGGCAGAGCTCCAGGCACTTACTCCACCTTTTAAATTTTTTTCCCAGAGAGTACGGTGGGAGGGAGAAAGAGAGGGATCAAAACCTGATGATAAGCCCTGATTGGTGTGGCTCAGTGGGTTGGGCATGGTCCGCAGAACGAAAGGTTGCTAGTTTGATTCCATGGGGTACACACCTGGGTTGCAGGCCAGGTCCCTGGTTAGGGGTGTGCAACTGATCGATGTTTGGGGACTGGACCCCACATCGCAGGCATATACACTGACAGGGAGTTGAACTGGCGATTTTTCATCTTGTGGGGCAATGCCCAGTGAAGGGCTTACTCCACCTTTTTGCTGATTTTCTCTCTGACCCTGCTCCTGGGTCTAATAACAATCCTCTTCATTTGTATAATGAATTCACCGAGTCTTTCTTTCCAAAGTGCTTTCAGCTCTTTTGGCTTTGGGGAGTGGGGCAGGGTAGGGATGATTGGACCCATTTGGCAGATGGGATGGCTGAGACCCCAGGAAGGGCAGAGATTCGTGGGCATCCCTGCGATTGCCAAGGGGTATGCACTGACCTGCAAGGAGCCCTGTACTCCTGGGCAGAGCAGCGGGCTGCCCGACAATGATCGCCCTTCCCCTCCACTGGTCTCCATGCCCCGCCCCAGGTGCCCCCTTCTCAGAAATAGAGCTGTACAGAGGCAGCCGTCCGATTCTCTGGAGGGATGGAAGGGGGGCCTGCTTCACCACGCACCTGCACTGCCCTGCCCAGCCCAGAGAAACACAAGGTTTTGTTTGCCCTGATAGGCACTGGCTTTGCTGCCCCCTTGCCCTCCGGCCTTCCTCGAACAGTCACTGGCAGCTCTTATACCCCGGGAGCTGAGCCAGTACAGCCCTCCTCACCCCCCGCTCAGAAGCCAGAGGCTGTTTTGCTATCCGAGGAAAGTGAAGCAATACATGACTTTGGTAGCTGAAATAACGCCACCACACGGGCGATCTCAAGCAAGGATTCATTTTTTTTTATCCACTACTCAATTGTGCTGGACCCAGGCTGGCCTTATGACCCTGAAACAAAGGAGACATTGGCCAGGTCCCAAGGCCACAAGGAGTGGAGTGTAACTTGTGACGGCCCTGCAGAAGTGTGTGATGTAAGATTCCAGAAGAGGGCCGTTGATGCCACTGTGAGGTCCCGGCTGGCATCTCAGAGGAGGCATTCCCCCAGCTGGGCTTTGAGGGATGAATATGAGTTTTCTGGGCTGGAGTCGGGGGAGGGCATCCCAGGCAGAGGTGCCAGAGAGTGTGCAAGGCATGGACGTGGCATGTTCAGGGAACTGTGGGGACTTCTGGCAGAGGGTATGGTGAGGAAGCCCCTGGAGTGAGGGAGGGAGAAAGGAGAGGATGAGGCTGGAGTGGTGGGTTCTGGACAAAAGATACAGGACCTGAGTGATGAATACTAAATGGGATTGGGGGAGAGGAGGAAGGACACAGGAGAGAAGAGGCCGCCTGCCTCTACAGTGGCCATTTATTTACCTTAGCAGTTAAGTGCATGCGCACTGACCCGGAGTCCTGGATGCAAAGCCAGGCCCTTTCAGAGTGCAAGGTAGTTCAGCAGACGAAAATTCATCGGTGTAATGCGCCACGCAGCACATTAATGGATGAAGGGGGGAAACCATGGGATCTCAGTTGATGCAGAAAAGCATCTGACTTGATAGGAATTAAAAAAAGCATCTGACTAAAACCCAACTCTTTTTCTAGATAAAAAACACCCACAAACAAGTAATAGATGGGAACTTCCTCAGCCTGGTAGAGGGCACTTATGAAAACTCCGTAACTAATGTCATATCAGTGGTGAAAGGCTGAAAGCCTCCGCACCAAGACCGGGAACAAAAGTTTCCCCCTTTCCCCACGCCATCCGCTCACCTTTGCACTGGAAGTTCCAGTCAGAGCAATTTGGCAAGGAAGAGAAATGTATGGCATCCAGGTTGGAAAGGAAGACGTAAAACTACCCAGATGCACAGATGATATAATGTAAATGTATACAGAAAACCCTAAAGAATACACGCACACAACTATTAGGACTAAGAAACGAACTCAGCGAAGTTGCAGGATTCAAGATCAGCACAAAGTACATCTGTTTTTCTGCACATGCAGTTCTGTCACCAATTCCGATGAGTCCCCACACCAGGCCATGCCCTGACACCAGCTGAGTGTCCCACAATGTAACGCAATCCTGACTCTGTCTCCCTGGAGAGTGCATCTGATTCCACAAAGACCCAGCCCCACGAGACTGCCCCCACTCCACCTGCCAAGGGCAAATCCAGGTTGTAACCTGTACCTCTGACCGAGGGCTATAAATCAGATTTCAGCACCCCTCCCCTGCCCCAGGGCTCCCTTAATTTACTAGCCCAGCTCACAGCACTCAGAGAAACATTCTCTGACTGGATTACAGTGTTATTACAAAAGGCTCAAAGATCAGGGCAAGGTGTGTGGGAAGCAGCCTAACCCTGGCTCTCCAGGGTCCCACCCGAGTCTGTCCCAGAGCACCTTCCCTTCCCAAGATTCACAGCGCTCTAGTAGTTATTACATATGTGATTTATCAGTCAAGGTCCCTGTCTTCCCTGTAGCCTCTTCTCTTCTAAAGAATAAGGCTGGTGTTAAAATATTCGAGGTCTGCTTGTGGGGGGGGGGGAGTGTCTGGGGAAGGAGATGTTGGATACAAGGTTCCCCCCCCCCCCGGAAGAACTGCCGAAGGAGGAGAATCATTGGGCTGAAGAGAATAACAATTTAAATGATCAAACACACCAACACCCTTGAGTTCCACTACTTTAGACAGGAAGTGGGGTGCTTCTCCAATTAATATATTGGCCCCTAGTTTAGCACAGGGTAGAATTCCGGTTCTGGTCTTCTAGGTGCCACTGGACCTTGGGCCCTCTGGAGAGAAAGAAAAGAACATCTGTAAGCGCTGCTCAGAAGGGTCACATCCACGGAGTCCGAAGAGCGGAGGTACGCGGTGAACAGAGCCTGGGTTGGGCCAAACTGCCTTCAACCTGGTGCTCCAGACCGGCGTGATGTAGAAAATGAAGAATCACCTCCTTCGTAAAACGCGAACGACGAGGATGGGATTCGAACCCACGCGTGCAAAGCACAATGGATTAGCAGTCCATCGCCTTAACCACTCGGCCACCTCGTCCCACGTAAAAACTCCTATTTCCAAATTCCCTTATCTCTTATTTCCTCCGCACCATTTGAGTCCCTTCTACCGTTTTCAATGCATCCTTTGTAAGATTTACAGGAAGGCGAAATGATAGAAAGGTTTGTGTGTGTGTGTTCCTTTCCTCCTGCCACCGATGGAATCCACACCATTCTTCGCCAAGCTGCAGCAGAGCTCTGCTACGGTTTCCCCTCCCTGAGTCGGGAGCGAGTGCGCCGACATTTCGGGGTGCGCTTGGTCCAGGGGAGTCGCGCACAGACCGGGAGGGAGTGGGTGAGCGTCGCTAGGAGCCTCGCGGTGCGGCCGCAGGCAGACCCAGCGTTTGCAAATCGCGCCGCGCCGGCAGCGAGTGCAGTAGTTCCTCCACTCGTGCAGGGGGCGAGCTGGCGCGGAGGCCAGTGCGAGCGGGAGGGGCTGTGCACCGGGCTCGGCTGGCCTCGGCTCGCTTCGGCTGCACTCGTCAGGCTGCGGTAAATCCGGGCTTGCGGCGGCTGGCAGAGGCTGTGGTCTGGTGGTCCCTGCTGCGCGCCCCAATCCCCAAGAGCCATGCAGATGTCCTACGCCATCCGGTGCGCCTTCTACCAGCTGCTGCTGGCCGCGCTAATGCTCGTGGCGATGCTGCAGCTACTCTACTTGTCGCTGCTGTCCGGGCTGCATGGACAGGAGGAGCAAGAACAGTATTTTGAGTTCTTTCCCCCGTCCCCGCGGTCCGTGGACCAGGTCAAGGCGCAGCTCCGCGCCGCTCTGGCCTCCGGAGGCGTCCTGGACTCCAGCGGCGATTACCGCGTCTATAGGGGCCTACTGAAGACCACCATGGACCCTAATGATGTGATCCTGGCCACGCACGCCAGCGTGGACAACCTGCTGCATTTGTCGGGCCTGTTGGAGCGCTGGGAGGGACCGCTATCCGTGTCGGTGTTCGCGGCCACCAAGGAGGAGGCGCAGCTGGCCACGGTGCTGACCTATGCGCTGAGCAGTCACTGCCCCGATATGCGCGCCAGAGTCGCCATGCACCTTGTGTGCCCCTCGCGCTATGAGGCCGCCGTGCCCGACCCCCGGGAGCCCGGGGAGTTCGCCCTTCTGCGGTCCTGCCAGGAGGTCTTTGACAAGTTAGCCAGGGTGGCCCAGCCCGGGATCAATTATGCGCTGGGCACCAATGTCTCCTACCCCAATAACCTGCTGAGGAATCTGGCTCGTGAGGGGGCCAACTATGCCCTGGTGATTGATGTGGACATGGTGCCCAGCGAGGGACTGTGGAGAGGCCTGCGGGAAATGCTGGATCAGAGCAAGCAGTGGGCAGGGACAGCGCTGGTGGTGCCTGCCTTTGAGATCCGCCGGGCCCGCCGCATGCCCACAAACAAGAACGAGCTGCTGCAGCTCTACCAGGTGGGCGAGGTGCGGCCGTTCTATTACGGGCTGTGCACGCCCTGCCAGGCGCCCACCAACTACTCCCGCTGGGTCAATCTGCCTGAAGAGACCTTGCTGAGGCCTGCCTACGTGGTGCCCTGGCAGGACCCCTGGGAGCCATTCTATGTGGCTGGAGGCAAGGTTCCCACCTTCGACGAACGCTTTCGGCAGTACGGCTTCAATCGCATCAGCCAGGTGCCCATGAGGGAGAGGGCAGGGGAAATGGATAGGAAGGGTGGTGGAGTCAGGGAGTTGTGAGGGGTCCTGGAGGGAAGGAGGCAACGAGGCAGGAGGGATCATCGTTCAGTAGTGGCTGGACGGTGTGGAAGATCCAGGATGCCTCCAGAGGAGTGGTGATGGCGGAATCGGCTCTAGGGGTGTCGCTCTTGGCCCTAGGGGTGTCATCAAACTTTGCTGACCTGTCTCTCCCCTGCAGGCCTGTGAGCTGCACGTGGCAGGATTTGATTTCGAGGTGCTGAACGAAGGTTTCCTGGTTCATAAGGGCTTCAAAGAAGCCTTGAAGTTTCATCCCCAAAAGGAGGCCGAAAATCAGCACAATAAGATTCTTTACCGCCAGTTCAAACAGGAGTTGAAGACCAAGTACCCCGACTCCCCCCGTCATTGCTGAGTCCTTCCCTGCCCTGGTCTGAGAAGTCTCAGCCTCCTCTCTCCTTAGGCCGCCCCTCAGGTCTGTCGGGGGTAAGAAATGACACTCCATTCTACAGTGGTAGCTGTGGTGTTGGAACACTGGACTTGAATATGGGGTGCTGGGATCAAGTCCTAGCTTTACCACTATCTAGCTGTGTGGCCTTGAGCAAATCCTGATCCCTCTCTGAGCCTCAGTTACCCTGTCTGTAAAAAGGGAGGTGAGACTACCTACCTCACGAAAAACTGTTGGGAGGCTCAGATGAGACGCTATGTATGAAAACATTAAGTAAGCTTCGTACAAATGTGAAGTATTATTAATATTATTACAGTATTACTGTTGTTATTATTGTTATTATTATTAACAATCTTGGGTGAGTAAGCAGTAGGAGAGCAAAAAGTATGAATGGGGCAGAGCTGAGAAGTCTGAGTATGTAACAAAATAGGCTTTTGGAAGGGAATCAGATACAGGCTCTGAATTTAGTTCTTAGCTTTTGACTAAAGCCTAAACTTCCTGGTTCTCCCAGGCCTTGGGAGTTCTGAAGAAGGGAAGGGTCCGCAGGTTCTGTACCCTCGAAGACGCTAGGCTGGTGATTTGTCTCCGAATGGCAATGTATAAATAAATGAGTGTTCACACCTACAGCTCGCTCCATTACTCTCCTGAACCCGGCAGGCGGAGGGGTCGCGGGTTCTACCCATTTCACGCCTTGGGGCGTCGCGGGGAGGTGACCGTGGACCGAGGGGCGCCGACTGTAAAGGAAACCACAGAGGTTTTTTTTCAGCAGGCTGATAGCCAGCGTGAACGTCGGTCGGTTGCTATGGAAACCAGCGCGCGGTATCCCAGCATGCCTCGCCCCAGCTGTCCAATTTGTGAGCTTCCCAACCGGCACCTCTTGATGACGAATACGGAAGCGCTGGCAGTGCCCCGCCCCGTCCCGCCCCCACCAGCCTCCGGGTGAAGAGGGACGGTCCCCGCACTTCCCGGAGCCGGGCACCGGCGGGCAGCACCCGCTTCTGCAGCCATCTGTCAGGCAGTCTCGGACGTGAGGCCAAAGGCTCCACTCCCTGCGGTGCGTAACTCCACCCACGGGGCCGGTTCGGTCTCTCCAGCGGGTCGGTCAGAGCCCGCCCACTCTTCTGGGCCGAAGCAAGACCTAACCGGCCGGACGCGTGCAGGGCCGCGGGCACCAAGCTGGCCTCAGAAGAACCAGTGATTGTCGTGCCTGTGCCGGCGCCTACGGGGATGGAGCGGGGCTGGAGGCTCTGGGCGCGCCGCGGAAGGGTTGAATTGTCCCCTTTGAGGGTGGGGACCACGGAGTTCTGCCTTCGAGATGTTCACTTTCTGAAAAGATAACTTGCCTGTGCAGAGCGCCTTACGATTCGCTTTTCTCTCCCTCACTCCAGCAGTCTCACAGCCCTCAGGGTAGCAGTGGTTATTCTCTCTTTGCACCCGGAGTAGGGAGAGGAGGTTGGCATTTAATGAGCTTATTCAGTAGAATAGGAGGCCTCGCCCTTTCTGGTCCTCATTACTTTGAATCTTACCAAGGAAATATATTTAGCAGTGCAAAGGAATTGCAAAATTTGGGGACTATTGTAACCGAGGCTTGAGAATGGGAACGATGAGACTGGTTTGGAGAACCGAAGGTTTCAGGTCAGGTTCAGATGGTTTGTGAAATCGTGGAGGAACGCGGCTAAACTCTCCTCTAGTCCCGTTATTTTACACACTTCGAATTGCTGTCAAGGAAGGTTAGCAGAACACTTCGGGTCTGCTACCACTGCAGGCACTTGGGACCACCAAGAAGTAAAAGCCAAACCCTGTCTCACAAAGCTTTGTTTTGTTTAATTTGTGTTCGCGAACCCTCCGGTCATCAAGTTGGTACTGTGCTAGGTGAATAAGGCGCATGTGCAGCCCTGCCCTGGGGAGGCACAGCATCTGGTTGGGGAGATAGACATGAGATGGGCAAGAAGAGAGGAAATGTTAGCAAATAAGGCTTCCTGGAGGGGATGGGGTCTGTTCCCATCTAAAGGACTACAAAACAGTGCCCAGAGAAACTGGTGGAGTATCAGTGAAATAGAACCCTCAGCAGGCAGAGAGATTATCTGTTGAGAGGCCTGTTTCGTCTTCCTCTTAGGTGACTTCTTGGAGCATCTGGCACCGTCACCGCTCCTTCCTTCTGCAGTTCTCTCCATGACTGAGGTTTTCCTCCACCTCTTGGTAATTTCCTTCTCCTTTGCAGGAGCCTCACCCTCTGCCCCTTTGGTGACCCTGACAGTTCCATCATGGGTGTCTTCTCACTCCACACACTTGGCCTTGCTGGTTGCACCCTATCCTGCTGCCTTGTCAATCCCTGTCTGCCATTGACCAGATCTCTGCAGCCCAGATTTCTCTCCAAGACTTGGACCCGTGTGCCCCCAATCCCACCCCTTCTCTCATTTTGGGGTCTTTGCACACGCCACTCTACTTGGAATGTCCCCTTCCGGGACTGGCTGAGCCCGTCTGTCTGGCCCTTGTGTTGCAGGAGCCCAGTTAGACACCTCAGGCTTCCACTCTCAACTCTTCTCCCACCACACTGATGGGCCGCTTCTTCGCTCTTTGCTCCCAGGAACTTGTAAACAACTTGAGGTCAGGGACTGCCTGCCTGTCACAGCTGTGCCCCGCGCCTATGGCAGTGTTGGATGGCACCTAGCCTGTATGGGAGTTCCCGTAAATACTGAGTGAATAAAAGAAGGGATGCTTCACAGTGTTCAGTGTTGCCGAGAAGGCGACCATGATAAGCACTGAAGGATGCTGACCTCAGGCACAAGGAGGTCGTCAGCTAATGCTACCCGATCGGCTTCAGCCTAGAGTGGTGATGTGACCAGGAGGTGAAGGAGTGGGAGGGGTCAGTGTGCACTGGCCTTGAAAGGCACAGCTGTGAGGTGGGGAACGGGGAGCAGCTGAGTGCATAGGGCGAGGTGTTGCGTTTCTGCTTTGGTGGGAAATACCTGAGAATGTCTTGAGTGCCATGGAGAGGAACCGTCAGAAGGGAGCATTGAAAATGCAGAAGAGGGCCCTGGCTGGCGTAGCTCAGTGGATTGAGCGCAAGCCTGCGAACCAAAGGATCGAGGTTCGATTCCCAGTCAGAGCACATGCCTGGGTTGCAGGCCAGTTCCCAGCAGGGGACGCACGAGACGCAACCATACATTGATATTTCCCTCTCTCCTTCCCTTCCCCTCTAAAGATAAATAAAATCTTTTTTAAAAAAAGAAAGAAAATGCAGAAGAGGGAGGGGAGCCCTGCTGATGTGAAGTCCCAGAGGCAGCAGAAGGGCGTGGGACTGGACCCAGAGCACAGCGAGAAGACAGGAGGCTGCGGACTGTTTTCAGCAGGGGCGGGCTGGGGCCGTGGGGAGCGTCGCAGGCAGAAGGAAAATAAGGTGGGGGTGGGGGAAGGAAGGAAGTGTCTGGTGTTATTGGAGAATTGGCCATGAGATGGTGGGGTAAAGGAGCTGGACGCGCAGCCTGGTCAGTGCAGGGCCTTGAAAGCCCCCGTCAGGAGTTTGGGCCCAGTCCCGTAGGCAGGGAGGAGTCCACCCTGGGCTTTTCCCATTTTATGGGTGATTGATCGCCTTTGCCAGGATTCCCGGGATCAGGATCACCAACGGTATCCTAGGCTGTGAGTGTTTCTTAGGCTGTGAGCGTTTCCATGGCTTCTGGGAGATGCGCAGACAGGACCACTTGCACTTTCTCCACCTGGTGTGTTCTCAGGGTGTGGTGAGTCCAGTCACCTCCCTAGCTGCCCCCAGCTGCAGTCGGGCCTCACTGGACTCCCCGAGTGGCCACTTTCCCACTTACAGCTGTGGGCAGTGGCAAGTGATGGCTCCGTGCCTTCTTCCAGAGCCCAGATGCCAGTCCAGCCTCCAAGCAAAGACCCGGAAGAGATGGAAGCAGAGGGCGATTCAGCTGCCGAGATGAATGGGGAGGAGGAAGAGAGTGAGGAAGAACGAAGTGGCAGCCAGACCGAGTCAGAAGAGGAGAGCTCAGGTGAGAGAGAGAGAAAGACACACACACACACACACACACACACACACACACACACACACAAGCGCCCTCTCCCTCCTCAGCTGGCCCTGACTATCTTCTCGTCCCAGAGATGGATGACGAGGACTATGAGCGGCGCCGCAGTGAGTGCGTCAACGAGATGCTGGACTTGGAGAAGCAATTCTCTGAGCTAAAGGAGAAGTGAGCCTGGGGCACCTGGGGCAGCTGGGGCTGGGTCTTCAGGCCCTGGGAAGTGAGGAGGCCAGGGGCCTGGGGCTGGGCAGAGGTGGCTGAGGCCGAGTGAGTGAGTGCTGAATGCAGGGCCTGCCATGGACCTGGTGCTCTGTGTGTGTTTGACGGAGGGAACACATTTCACTTCCCAGGTTGTTCAGGGAACGGCTGAGTCAGCTGCGGGTACGGCTGGAGGAAGTGGGGGCTGAGAGAGCGCCAGAGTACACAGAGCCCCTGGGGGGGCTGCAGCGGAGCCTCAAGATTCGCATTCAGGTGGCAGGTCTGTGGGCTGTCCTGTGCACTGGGGTGGCCCGCCGATCCCTCTCCCTGTTTCCTACCAACCCAGCGTCCCTTCCACACTCATCCCTGCCCTGCCCATGCTCCAGCCCTGCTTTGGGGACACTGGGGTCCCTGGCCAAGCTGGTCCTCCCATCCCCCTCCCTCCCTCTGCAGGGATCTACAAGGGCTTCTGTCTGGACGTGATCAGGAACAAGTATGAATGTGAGCTGCAGGGAGCCAAGCAGCACCTGGAGGTGACCGATGGGTGCCTGGGGAGGAGGACCCAAGTGGCCCACCCGGCCCTCCTGGCTGAGCAACCCCCTGCCCCTTACAGAGTGAGAAGCTGCTGCTCTATGATGCCCTGCAGGGGGAGCTACAGGAGCGGATCCAGAGGCTGGAGGAGGACCGCCAGAGCCTGGACATCAGCTCAGGTGAGGCTTGGGGGGGGGGGGCAAGCACCCTCCCCAGGCCTGGCTGTCAGTGCCCACCCCTGCCCCGAGGTAGTGGGACGGTGGATGTAGGGGCTGAATGAAACTAGGCAGGAGAAGGGCCTGGCACACAGGGAGGGGGTTCTGGAAGAGTGGGTCCCCTGCTCTCTTTCCAGAGTGCGAGGTGACATTCCTGCACTCCCACACATCCTGTAGCCACAGTCTGCTCCGTGTCCTTAGCGCCTGCAACCACACGGGGCTCTGGGGAGGCAGGAATTGTCACTGGTGCACTAAACAGAGAAGGAACTGAGGCCCACAGAGTGCAGGCACCTCTTTCCCAGGCCGCACATCTGAGCATTTGGGACCTGAACTCAGCTTCTATCCCCCAAGCCCAGGGTTCTCTCTGCTGTCCTGAGAGGTGGTTGATGGGGAAGGGCCAGCAACAAGGGTGGGGTGTCCTGGGAGAGCTAGCACCTCGATCCTGACTCTGGGTCTGGGGACAGAGTGGTGGGATGACAAACTACACGCCAGAGGCAGCTCGAAGACCTGGGACTCCCTGCCACCCAGCAAGAGGAAGAAGGCACCCCTTGTTTCTGGTATCCTTCCATGATGGGGCCTGAGCTGGGCAGGATGGCGGCCCCAGACCTGGGGGTGGGGGGAGGGACATGGAACAGAGTCAGACTAGACACATTCATGGCTGGTTGGCCTCGTGTGGCTGTGTCCAGGCAAGTCCAGCTATCGGGAATTCTTTGCAGGGTTGTGCGTCTCGCCTAGGTTCTGTAGACCATGGAGAGTAGAAACGTCTGCCCGGTAACACCCCCCCCCCCCACCATGATTTCCTGAAGTCCCTTCTGAGGCCCTCTGGCTCCCCCTCAATGATCGGGGTGTGTGCCCAGCCTTTCGGCCCCCCGTTGGTCACTTTCACCCTCTGTGAGGAGTGCCGCCTCCGTCCATGTCTGCGCAGTGCTCAGCCAGACGCCGTCTGCTGCGTCTCCTGGTCTTCCCCCAGCGGCTATGGCTTCTCTCTCCTCTGCACCCCTGTGGCGTAAACGGGGATGCCCACATCCCGTGTGGGGAGCAGCTGCCTCTGCCCCACCTTCCAGGGTCTGCTGTGCCTTTTTCCCTCTGGCACAGCCCTACACAGCGCTGCACTGAGTCCCTCCCTACTCCCCTCCCCTGCATTAGTTCGCCTCAGTAGCCATTCTCAGGGCACTGGCCGCCTGCTGATAGGACTCAGGTGCCAGGAGGGAGGCCTCTGACTGGCTGGAGCAGTGAATGGGAGGCGAGGGTGTGGGGACCTCAGGTGCAGAGCACAGGAGGGCAGAGCGGGTGGTCCCCACTGGGGCGCGTGTGACCACAGGAGGGTTTTCAGAATGGAAGAGACAGGTCTGTGTGTACATGGGGAAAGGGGCCAGAGGAGGGGACAGTTAGGGGGACAAGGAATAGAAGAAGCAAGGTCCCTTAGTGGGTCGGATGGGCCTTGGTCTACTGACCTTGAGATTGGAGAGGGGGTGAGCTGGAGCCAAGGCAGGGGAAATCGGGGCGAGGCTGGGTGCCCACTGAACCTTCTGGGGACTCCACAGCCCACACGCCCGGTGGAGAGCCTGGGGGCAGGAGGCGGAGCCCAAACTCTAACGCCTGTCCTCAGTGCTCTCTCCGGAGGGTTAGAGCCCCTCCCCTCCCCTGGGCTTTCTGCTTCCTTGACCCCCGGTGCAGGCCCTTACATTGTGTACATGCTGCAGGAGATCGACATCCTGGAGGACTGGACGGCCATCAAAAAGGTGGGTCCACGCTGCCTGCTCACGCCCCGTCTCAGGGTCCCCACCCCAGACGCTGCTCTGGTCTCCGCAGGCTCTCCGCCCCAGGGCTTCCCGGGGGCCTGGCCCCCCAGGTTCCCTGGCATTGCTGCCCGCTCACATGCCTCCTTTTGTCCAAGGCTGCCCTGCAGGAGGGAACTCCTGGTCTGTGCTGGCCTTTCTTGTTCCTGGACAGGTTTTAATGGGGTAGGAGAGAGGGAAGGTGTGAAGCCGCTGGGCTGGCCAGGCCTCTAGCAGGAGGTCATGTGAGAGCTCTGTCTAGAAAGTGTCCTGTGCTCTCCCCCACCTTAACCCCCACCCCAAGGCCGCACAGGCCCAGCAGCGCCGGCCCCAGAGAAGCTGGCGTGGAGGGGACTTGCCAGGCTGGAGGCAGGTCGTCAGGGGGGACTTTTATTCTCTCCCACCCAGGCTAGGGCAGCTGTGTCTCCCCAGAAGAGAAAACCAGACGGTAAGAACCATGGGACCTCCCACCCCCACCACCCCTGCCCCTGGCCCCGCCTCCAGAAGGGAACCCAGAGAGAGGCAGTGGCCCTGCCAGATCAGGGGCCTGAGGGTTTGAGGGCACTGGGGGAATCTGGGGGCAGGAGCCAGTGTAGGGGTGGGGAGGCTCTTAAGCTGAAGGGGCAAGGGGACTGGGTTCCCCACCAGGATGGGTCGGGGTCGGGGAGGGCCGGAATACCAAGCCCCAGCAACTGTGGCTCCCTGGTGGGGCCAGGTAGCAACAGGCCAGACTGAGGCCACTCCCGTCAGTTCCCCGGGTGAAGTGGCTGCGCCCTTGCTTCGGCTTCCTCTCACCTACAGTGATTGTCCCTTTCTCCCACGCCCCCAGGACTGTGACCCTGCTGTGTGCAGCCGGCACCGGACCCAGGATTGGCGCTGTGCTGCGGCAGAAGGCAGACTGTACAGAAAGGCCTTCCGGCACTGCTGCTGGGCCTCCCCTCCAGCCACCACCGGTCTGGACTCCTCCTGTGTCCTGCTCGGGGCTTGGACAGCCAAGCCCAGAGCTCTGCTAGCCTGACGGACTGTCTCCTCCAGCCCCAACCAGCCCCTGCCGTCCCCTGCAAAGGTCAGCCCCGTAGGTCACCTTTCTAACAAAGAAGACGTGTCTCATCTTAAGCCAGATCACATCCTCTGCTGACCTTGGACCTGGCTCCCAGTCACTGAGCCAGCAAGTTGGGCCCACTTCACAGGCACTCTGAGCCAGACAGTGTGTGTGGGGCTGCCCTGGCTCTTGCCGTGGTGAGAAGACAGGCTCCCCAGGTCCTGCCAAGGCTGTCCTTGGGGCCTGCCTCCCACATCGAGGGGGCTGGAATTAAAACATTTCCTGGGACTCTGGCGTGACCCCCGTGTGACTGATTTACCTTGCAAAGCAGGCAGGGATCCCATGGCAAGTGCCTGAGACAGGCAGACACTTCTGGGGTCCCTGGTGTCTCACCACCCAGCAGGAGCCTACCCACTCGACTTGGGGTGTAGACTGGGGAGAGGGGGGCTCTCCACGGCCCCTCTCCTGCTGCCCACCTGGTAACATGTGGCACAGGCGGAGCACGTGTCCGACGGGGAGGGGGGCGGGGTGCCCCATGCTTGGAGGCTGGGTCACGTCTGCACCTGCGCCGCCATTGGCAGGGGACAAGGCAGGGCCCGTGTGCGTGGGAGGCAGCCAGCAGCAGTGCAGTGTGCTGACTCCCCACAGCCAGACTCCCCCCTGTTTAGTGCCGAGCATTAGAACCACCCCCAGAATCTCAGTTAAGCAAAGGGGTTAGTTTCCATGGAGACAGGGCATCCTTTCTCCATGGCAACCCGAAATCCCAAAACCCATCAGGCTCAGGGATGAGTCATCTGTGATCAGTAGGGGGCACTCTCCCAAGGCTGACCCCAAGGCCGGGACAGAAGAGCCATCCACCACAGACTAAAAGGTGCCCCAAAGGCGAGGCTTGGGCCCCTGGGGAGGAGGCAAGTGATGCTTAACCCCTTCCCTCCCTCCTGCGGTTTGAGGCGGCTGCTGCGGGAAGCCCTGTGTGGAGGTGGTAGTCCCGCAGCTGGGGCCGCAGCTGGGGTCCTCGGAGTGGTACCTGCATGGACAGGATCCTGCCCCCCAAGGCTGGGCCCAGAACAGAGAGGAAGTAAGTACTGCCAGGGCTGAGTGGACACACAAGAGTTAACTGGCGGGTGTGACAGGGCGCACCGCCCTCAGGAAGTGTTACTCACCGTCGGGAATGTGCTCTCGCCTTGGGGGCTGGCTTGTCTTCCTGAGTCCCAGGAGTAACCGAAGGAGCGCCCTGCCATGGAGAGCACTGGGGATCCCGGAGCAGGCCTTGGGGATCCCGGAGCAGGCCTTGGAGCCCCCAGCCCTTCGAGCTCCTCCTCGGCTGGGCACCTGGAGAGAGAAAAGTTAGTGAAGTTGGAAGGGCAGCCCTGTGGGCCTGGGAGGGACCGCACAGCAGGGTCTATCCAAGGGGCAGAAGTGGGGAAAGGGCCGGCTCAGGTCTGGTACCTGCCTCCAGGCCATCCCAGGACCCACTGTATGACGTTCCTGACGCCGGTGGAGGGCAGACGGGTGGGCCCCAGCGGCCTGGGCGCACTGTGAGCCTTCGGGAGCGCCTGCTGCTCACGCGGCCAGTGTGGCTGCAGCTGCGGGCCAACGCAGCGGCCGCGCTGCACGTGCTGAGGACCGAGCCCCCAGGGGTGAGTCTTGTCCCCTACTTTCAGGGATGGGAGGGAGGAGGGCTGGACATGGAGGTCTGGAGCCTCTTCATCCATTCTCAGACGTTCCTGGTGCGGAAATCCAACACTCGCCAGTGCCAAGCCCTGTGCGTGCGGCTGCCAGAGGCCAGCGGCCCTTCCTTCGTCTCCAGCCACTACATCCAGGAGAGCCCTGGGGGTGAGAGGGACTGGCCTGTAGGGAAGGGGCTGGACGCAGAGGCTGGGCGCAGGGGGAGTCCCCAGAGCACAGCCTTGCTTCCCATCTCTCAGGCGTCTCCTTGGAGGGATCTGAGCTCGTCTTCCCAGACCTAGTCCAGCTCATCTGTGCCTACTGCCACACCCGGTGAGCCTGGTGTCCTCGGGACACCCTGTCCCCCAAAGCGTCAAGCATCCCACACTCCTGACTTTCTGCCCCCCTCTCTGGCCTCAGGGACATCCTTCTCCTCCAGCTTCAGCTCCCGAGGGCCATCCACCAGGCAGCCACCCACAAGGAGCTGGAAGCCATCTCCCATCTGGGCATCGGTAAGGGCTCCCCTGCTGCCTGCTGCCTGCTGCGTGGACGGACAGACTGAGGCCAAGGGGGAAAGGGAAGGTACTTGGGCACGTGACCTGAGTCTGTGCCTGGCCCTCCGTCAGGCACACTCCCTGACCCTCCCGAGGCCCCAGTTGGTTTCTCTTCTCAGAGTTCTGGAGCTCCTCCCTCAACACCAAGGCTCGACCAGGCCCACCCGAAGGCCCGTTGCTGCCCCGGCTGAAGCCACGGTCCCCGCAAGAGCTGGACCAGGGCACTGGAGCCGCCCTGTGCTTCTTCAACCCCCTGTTCCCAGGAGACCTGGGACCTACCAAGCGGGAGAAATTCAAGAGGAGTTTCAAAGTACGCGTATCCACAGAGGCTTCTAGCCCCCTGTCTCCGCCTGCTGTGCCGCCTCCCCCTGTCCCGGTGCTGCCGGGGGCAGCCCCCAACCAGGCAGAAAGGTTGCCCCCTCGCCAGCTGCTGCGGAGAGAGAGCTCAGTGGGGTACCGTGTGCCAGGGGGTGCCGGCCCTAGCCTCCCTCCCCTGCCCTCCCTCCAGGAGGTAGACTGTGGCTCTCCCAGCAGCTCCGAGGAAGAGGAGGGGACGCAGGGGCCTCGAGGGAGCCCGGCAACCTCACCCCGCCTGAGCCGCAGGCGGCCTTTGCTTCGGTCCATGAGCGCTGCCTTCTGCTCCCTGCTGGCACCCGAGCGGCAGGTGGGCCGGGCAGCCTCAGCATTGATGCAAGACCGCCACACAGCTGTGGGCCAGCTGGTACAGGACCTACTGACCCAGGTGCGGGCTGGCCCCGAGCCCCAGGAGCTGCAGGGCATCCGTGAGGCAATGAGCAGGGCTCGGGCCATGCTGAGCGCTGAGCTGGGCCCGGAGAAGCTGCTGCCGCCCAACAGACTGGGTGAGACTCAAGCCCTGGCCTTCGCTGGTCCAGCCCCGTCTCTCCATAATCTCAACTCTGTCCCACACCCCACCCCTCTCCACGGCACCAGCCTGCCTCTCCTCTCCCCACCCTTCAGGTGAATTTCACCTTCCCCCACTTCTCCCCTCCCTCTCCTGTCTCACAAGATTCCTCCTCCTCTTCATCCCGTCCCTCCTGGACTATGCCCCTTCTGCTTGGGACCCCGACCCCCACCCCACCCTGGTTCCCCTGACCCCCTGCCTGCTTCTGCTCTGTAGAGCGTGTCCTGGAGAAGTCACTGCATCGCTTGGTGCTCAAGCCTCTCCGGCCTACCTTGGTGGCCCGACTGCAGCGCCGACTCTCTGCCGATGGCTCCCTGGGCCGCCTCGCTGACGGCCTTCGCCTGGCCCGGGCCCAGGGCCCTGGAGCCTTCGGGTCCCACCTGAGCCTGCCCTCCCCGGTGGAGATGGAGCAGGTGCGCCAGAAGCTGCTGCAGCTGCTCCGCACCTACTCACCCAGTGCCCAGGTCAAGAGGCTCCTGCAGGCCTGCAAGCTGCTCTACACGGCCCTGAGGACCCACTGGGGTGCGTCCCCTCCCACCACCTCCCACTGGTCGCTTGCTCTCAGAAGCACCTCCCAGGCAGATTCCAGGACAGGCCAAGTAGCAGAAAAGATGGGTGCAGCCCTTTCATCTCACGAGTGGTCTAACTGAGGCCCAGACTGTAGTGCATCCTCTCCCCAGCCTCTGCTCAGGGTTGCCATAGAGACCCCATTGCTCAAGGCCAGGCACGTGGAGGGAGAGTCACATGCTGGGACAAGGATTGGACTCTGGCCCTGGGGCCCCAGAGGAGCCTGACACTTCCTTCTCCACCACCCACAGGAGAGGGCGCGGGGGCCGACGAGTTCCTCCCACTGCTGAGCCTGGTCCTGGCCCACTGCGACCTTCCTGAGCTGCTGCTGGAGGCCGAGTACATGTCAGAGCTGCTGGAGCCTACCCTGCTCACCGGAGAGGGTGAGGGACCCCTCACACTCGCCACCCCCTGTCTGAGTGGGGTTGGAGCGCCTTAGCATTTGCATGGCCCGAGTGAGCAGGAAGGGGCAGAGAGAACACGTCACCAAATGCCACGCTGAGCTGCGTTATTCCCCTGTGTCCCAGGTGGCTACTACCTGACCAGCCTCTCTGCCAGCCTGGCCCTGCTGAGCGGCCTGGGCCAGGCCCGCCCTCTCCCGCTGAGCCCCTCACAGGAGCTGCAGCGCTCCCTCAGCCTGTGGGAGCAGCGCCACCTGCCCGCCACCCACAGCTTCCAGGTAACGGGGCCTCTACTCTGTCCACCCCGCACTGTGAGGCCGACGTAGGCTGGCCCTGCGTCACCCTGCCGTAGGAACAGCACGATGCAGTAGGAACAGTGCCGAGCAGATGTCAAAGCCAGCCTTTCTAGAGAGAATACAGTGCATGTGCTGGTGCTGGGCTCAGCCCTCCAAGGGCCCAGCCCTGAATCTGCACAGAAACAGGGCCATCCTGTCCCCATTCCACAGATGAGGAAACCGAGATGTGGCATGGGGAGGGACAGGGACACAGGTGGCAGGCTCAAGTCCCATATCCTGGCTTCCAGCCCCTAACCGGGGGCCTGCCCTGCCCTAGACTCAGGCCTTCAGCCCAGGCTCCCATCCCCCTCCCAGCCGGGCTCGGTCCTGGTGTCCCCAGACCGCGGACACCATTCCTGCCCTTCACCCTCCTCTCCACCCTTCCTGGCCTGGGTTCACATCCTGGCTCTCCTACTTTTTGATTTGGGGAGCTTGGGCTGGTTTAGTACCTAACTTGTGCCTCAATGTTCTCATCTATAAAATGGGACAATAGCACCTACCTCCTGGGACTGGTGTGAGGATTAAATGAGTTCTTGCCACGCAAGCACTCAGGCACAAGTTAGTTAGTTAGTTACGTCTAAGCGTGAACGCTGGGTTGTGGGGGCCTGCTGGGGCCACCCTTCCAGCCTGCAGCATGACCCGCCGAACAACCACGTCTCCCCCTTCCTCGGGGCCCCCTTGGAGCTCACCTTGTCCAAAAAGCTTTTTCCAGTTGGTTCCACCACTGGATCTACACCGCCCACCCTGCCTCTGCAGACCCTCAACTGGGGTCTCGAGCTTTGCAGCCAGATACATGCCAGGCAGGGCTGAGTTCTCGTTTCCTTCGTCCTCCTGCACAGCACCTCCTCCGAGTAGCCTATCAGGACCCCAGCAGTGGCTGCACCTCCAAGACCATCGCCGTGCCCCCAGGGGCCTCGATTGCCACCCTGAACCAGCTCTGTGCCACCAAGTTCCGAGTGGCCCAGCCGGACACTTTCGGCCTCTTCCTGTATAAGGAGCAGGGCTACCACCACCTGGCCCCCGGAGCCCTGGCCCACGGACTTCACACCACCGGCTATCTCGTCTACCGCCGCCGGGCAGAGCAGCCTGAGACACCGGGGGCCTCGCTGGAGGGGGCAACAGAGGAGGGCAGCGGGAAGCCAGAGGCAGGGGGCAGGGAGGAGGAGAAAGGGGGCCGAGGAGATGGGGACATCGAGGTCAAAGCCAGCGCCAGGGACAGCACGGGAGAGTCTGAGACGACCACCGAGCAGGATGAGAGCCAGGCCAGGGGAGGCCCTGCTTCACCAGGCTGGCCAGAGGTTGAAGGAAGCCGGGCAGCAGAGGAGTAACTGGGAGTGGACAGAATGGTCATTTGGGGCAGAAAACTCTAAGCCTGCTGGGAAGGCCTTTCCGAGCCATCAGCCCCACTGAGGAAGGCCACAGCCCCCTTAGCCTTCTCACCTGGGCGGCACTTGTGTCTGCCATCAGCTTTGTCTGATGTTTGCCTCTGTGACCCCACGTGCTGGCGGAGTGCCTGAACTGGCCACATCTGGGCATCCGAGTAAAGCTGGGCAGGTGTGGGGGACCCTGGACCAAGGGCCCAAGGCCCTTTGCCTCTTATCCTCTTAGCCCAGCTGTAGCCCTGCCAGCCAACCCGCAGTGGTGAGCATGCCCAACCTCCAGCAGCTGGGGAGGCGCCGCTGCCCAGGCAGCCCCTCCAAGCTGGGGGCTGCACAGCCCTGAAGGGCTCCACCTACTTCCGGGCGTCAGGAAGACTCAAGGAGGCAGCGAGGGCTCGGGGCCCCAGCCCCGTTCCAGACCCCTAGCTCCTCCAGCCGCAGTGTGCTTACCTGTAAAGTGAGGGTGCCCTGCCGTCCTGTTTTCCCGTCTCCTAGAAAACTTGCAGGAGTCCAAATGGATGCAAAGCAGACTTCAGACTACGGGAAAGGGGAGGGAAGGAGCTGAGGTGTGGACATGGCCTCCCTGTCCCTCCAGGGGTTGCTGTCTGCACTTTCCAAAGGGTGACATCCTCCAGTCGCCCTGAAGCTGGACAAGCACCCAAGCTCCAGTCTTTCCCCAAGATGGAAAGGCCTCCTAGGCCCTCTGGCATCGCAGGGGATGGGACGGGGAGACGGGCTTCCAAAACAGAGGGCGCGGGGGCTCTCGGACCTCATGAGAGCTTTACAGGGGGTCATGCAGGAGAGTGACTGCTAAGATGTCACACAGCAGGCCTTTAGGGGCTCCCCCACCCGAACCAGGGCATCAGGTTCCAACTACACCCTCCAGGCCTCTACTCCAAGCCACCAATAAGTGAACCCTCAAGGCTCAGCTGAGCAAGCAGCAGCTGCGAGCAAACCAAATGTTGGCAGCAACCACAAGGGGGTGTGTGTGGTCCAGGAAGCTGCGAAGTGGTGACATGCAGGGGCGGGGGAGGTGGCTCCAGGACCTCGACAGCATAGGTGGTCATGGGCTGCACTCCTGCACCCAGCCACCAGGCAACGGCACAAAGCCAGCCCCACAGGGACCACTCTGGAAAAGGAACTGTGCCCTGCTGGTCACAGAGGTGTTCCTTCAGGTGCTGTGCACCAGAGGACATCGGCCCACAAGTCCAACACGATGACTGGAAGGTGGAAATCCTGGGCATTGGGATTTCAGACAAACCAGAAGCAGCCCAGGGGCAGGGCTCCCAAATTTCTCACTAGGCCACCAGCAGCGCTTCCCTTCCCCCTTACGTGCGTGCTCACGCAACCCTGCTTCCCCTTGGGCCTTTGTGTGCCCTTCCTCCCTATCCCACGCCCATCCCTAGGGCCCTGCACAGTGCCTGACACTCCACAGGCACTCAGTCCACACTATTCACTGATTGGAGTTTGATAATGAGTGAAAGGCGGCCCCGAGATGTGTGGCAGGTCACCAGTTCAATTCCTGGTCAGGGCGTATGCCTGTGTGGCAGGCCAGATCCCCAGTAGGGGGCGTGCAAGAGGCAACCAATCTATCTTTCTCTCAAAATAAAGTCTTAAAAAAAAGTGAAGGGCAGCAACCATGGCTCGGGGCCACAAGGTGACTGCAAATGTGAGCCACTGCCGCAGGCGCCTCGCCCAGCACACCCTGTCTGTGTGGGACATGATCCGAGAGGTGTGGCTTTGTTCCCTGTCACGCCATGGAGATGCTCAGGTCTCTAAGGACAGGCGGGCCCTAAATTTGATCAAGAAAAGGGTGGGGACACACATCCGTGCCAAGGGGAAGAGAGAGGAGCTGAGCAGCCAAGAAGGACAGAGCTCCCATCTCGTGTAATAAAACCTGGTCAGGAAAAAAGAAAGTGAAGGGGCCCTGGCTGGTGCAGCTCAGTGGATTGAATGTCAGCCTGTGAACCAAAGGGTCACCAGTTTGATTCCCAGTCAGGGCACATGCCTGGGTTGCAGGCCAGGCCCCTATCAGGGGGAGTGTGAGAGGCAACCACACATTGATGTTTCTGTCCCTCTTTTCTCCTTCCTTTCCCCTCTCTCTAAAAAATAAATAAAATTAAAAAACATAAACGAGTGAAGGGCAATGAGCTAGGAAGCTAGGAGGTTAAGGGAGGGCTGGGTTCTGGGAACAAGACACAGCACATTTCAAATTCAGTTCCAGAAGAAGGACCTGGAATGGTTGCAGGGGGTGCTCAGCAAAACCAGGGATGACTGAGGCTTCTGGGCCTCCCCCCACCCCTTCCCCTGCAGAGTCCTATTTCCAGGCTCTGGGAATCCAGCAGGCCCCCAGCCCTGGCTCAGGCCCTGCCTGAGTCTTCTCGAGAGATTCTGATTGGTCAGGGGTCCAGGCCAGGCAAATCAGCATAACCAAGGGCCTTGCGTGATACAGGGGCAGGGGAGACAATGAAAGACTGGTCTAAGACTGGTCTCTTTATCCTCACTTTACTGGTGAGGAAAGTAAGGCTTGCTTCGGGCAAGTGGTTTATTGCAGGGTTCGGACGCCAGGGTCTGTGGAGCTTCTGGCTCTACAATCCTCCAAAACAGAAGGGCTATTTACTTATCCACTGAGCAATCTATGCAGCATCCGTGTGGGCCAAGCGCTAAGCACCCCCAGCCCCAGCCAGAGGGAAACCGATGTGGTCCCAGCCGTAACTGAGAGCCGGCTGCGCTCGGATTTTGTGCTGCGCCCTCCCCCACCCCAGCCTACCACCCACTGTTGCAGCACCACGCTGGGGCCTTAACGTCGGGATCTTTTGAGGAGCTCGAGTCATTTCCTCACTTGGCAGTGCTGCCCTTATCACCTCTCTGGAGTCACCGTAGTTCTATGGGTGAGTTTGTTTATTGTCTGTCTTCCCCACTAGAAGGTCAGAGCCATGTTGGTCTTGTTCCCGCTGTCGGCGGCCTAGAACAATGCCTGGCACTTAGTAAGTACATGCCCAGGGATTGATGGCGAGAAGGCAGCCTAAACCGTTCCTCAATTCCTCAGGCACGGGCTGTGCGTTCTCCACAGCTACCGCCAGGGGGGGCGAGCGAGCATGCCCTGCTCCCAGTCAGAGGTCAGGTCCCCTTCTCACCTGAGGCCGCCCAGGGACCCAGGGCAGTCAGAGGACCCACACCCAGCCCGGGGCCAGGAAGGAAGCAGCCCTGCTGCAGTTGGGGCCTGGGCACCGTCCTGCAATCGAGGACCCTAAGAACAGAGGTTGGGAAAGGGCTGAGGAAAGGGCCACCTACTGCCCAGGCTTTACGGGCCTGGTGGGCTCAGGAGTCGGGCTGGTGGGCAGGACTAAGGGCGTACTCCGGGGGGGGGGGGCAGGAAGGCCGTTGAGACCCACAGCCACACCCTGACCCACCCTCACCACAGAGCGCTGAACACCCTGCCACGGCTTTGTGCTCCCTGTTCACACCCACAACCAAACACACACAAGCGCCTTGACTCGCCTTGGCAGGGCATGTAGGTGACACCTGGGCACTCTCAACTTGAACAGGAGCACCCTGACACTGCTATCATTCGTGCCCTGCAGGGTGGGACACAGGGACACACATGGGCCCTCCCCTGACCCATAAACAGCTCTAGAATGGCAAACTCAGAGATATTCCCCCAGATATTCCCTCTGCCGTTCATAATGTGACTCCCTGACACACACGGGGACAGGCCAACATGGAGACATGTGGTGACCTGCTGCAAAGGAACCTCATGACAGGCACCTGCCTGCCCAGGCAGGACTGCTGCTGCCACAGCCCCGTCTGAGGCTCAGGCACGGCACGCAAGCACGGGAAAGACAGACACATGGGCACATTCAGAGACACGGACCCAGCAGCACACACAGACATGCACACATGCCCTTTATGCTTCTAATCGTGAGGAACACAGCCAAGCCCTTCTCACTCCCAGCCCTGACCTGTCCCTGGCCCTGCTCAGCACCCCGCCCCATGGTGGGTGCCGGTGAGGTCTATGAGCTGCTAGAAAGACCCCCACGGGCCAGGCAGCAGGCAGAAGCCGACAGCACTGGGTGGGGAGGCCTGAGCTCATCAGATTCCAGCCCTGGTGATTCACCGGTTCACCGGAAGTGCCTGGGGAGGATCTGGAGTAGGGGGTGGGGGACAGGCCCAGGGGCTGGGGCTTTGGGGGCCTGGGTGGCCTTCAGACCCAGAGGGTTGGATCCAGAGCAAGCCTCTAGTCTGGGAGAGGGGCTTCCTGAGGGGGTGGCCCAGCCCGAAGGGGTGTCTGTTGGGCCTTGCTCCTGGGAGAGGCTTAGGACATGGAGGGAGGCCTGGGATGAGACAATGGGCCCCTCCCACCCAGGCCTAGGCCCCTGACCCCAGTCCCAGCAGCTGGGTGTCTTTAGCAGGGGTTAGGCCAAGGGTGGGGGCAGGGGTGGGGTGACCTTCACAGCCATCTTGGCCCCTTGGGCTCTCAGTCTGAGTGGACCTCAGAGGCCCTGAGCGGCTGGACCCGCCTGGCCCAGTCAGCCGCCGGGGTTACAGCCTCTCACTGCCCTGCCAGGAGAGGCTTCTGCCAGAGAGCTGAGAAGGCAGGGCGGCAGACACCAGGGGGGCTCTCCTGCAGAGGTGGAGCCCTCTGCTCCTGCACCCGCCGAGCCCCCTGCCTCCCAGGCTGAGCTGGGGCTCAGAGGACCCAGCTACCCCTCCAGGACGACAGGAAGAAAGGATGGGGATTCGGGCACAGCCAGAGCACAGGAAGTCCCTTTCTTGGAACTCTGAACCAAAATAGCCCATTCTGTCCCTGCTCTGAATTTCAGTGTCCCACGTGGGAGGGATGTATCACCAAGGAGACCTTCCCCAGGGAGGGGCCACAGCTGACCTGAGTCTGGCTTTTGCCTGACACCCTCCCACAGCCTCCCACCCCTGACAGCCCCCACCAGCCCTGCCTCGGGCTCTGCTCCACTTTGAAGTCCTAACATAAATATCATGTCTGCTTGGGTTCTCTTCCCTGTCGGTCACAGCCCCCAGACCTGGCTCCCACCCCAGCCAGCCCCGGGTGTGCGTGCAGGGGGAGAGGAGGGGGGTCTGGACCACCCAGGGAAGGTGGTGAGGCAGAGACCCTGGGATAGGATTGGGGAGATAGAGTGGGCAAGACACCAGAGGCGGCGGGGAGACACGGAAGTGGGCCGAGAACCGCGAGACAGACTTCAGAAACCAACTAGGTGGCAATTCTGGGAAGAGGCGTGGAGAGAGACCCAGAGACGGACAGGAGATGGAGGCGCCTGACACAGAAGGGGAAGGGACAGGGACAGGAAGAGGCTCTGCATTCCGAGTCCCTGGGGACAGTGAGGGGGCAGGAAGAAGAGGGTGCTGGGCTGGAAGAGAAGGGGAAAGTTCCAGAGGTGCGGCTAAGACTGAGTAGCAGTGGGAAGGACGTGGAAGAGAGGGGAGCACCCTGGCGAAAGGCTTCCCAGCACAGGGGACCTCGGGGCCGAGACCAGGAAAGTCCTCAGCAAACTGGGATGAGTTGGTCACCGTAGGTCACAGGCCTCTGCCAGACACCACAGGGACAGAGTCCTCTCCCACAGGTGCCCCCCACACACACAGGGATGCTGTGGCCGGAGAAAGGCCAGCGAGGTCTTCCCTGGAGCGCACAGTAAGGCCGGGTCAGGGCCAGTCTCATAGCCAAAGGACCAGAGGGAGGACAGAACAGTGAGGGCCAGGAGAGCATCTGTCCTGGCCTAGGGTCCCTGGGAGATTCAGGGATGGTCCCCACTCTGCCTTCATCTGCCATGTGACCTGGTGCAAGCCTAGTCCCTGTCTGGGCTGAAGGGGAGGGCTGGGCCCTTCCAGCTCTGATAGGGACTTCAGGACTCCCTACCTTATGGGCAGATGTGGCCAGATGTTCAAGTTAGGCATCTGCCAGGAGAGGGACTGGGGTCCAGCTGGGCCCGGGTTGGGCTGTCTGGGAGCAGCCATAGGCTTCTCCCCTCACAGCTGCAGGCACAGGTGCAGGCCTGTGGGGACACACGCACACACACACCACCCAGCTGTGCACACCAGCAATGCTGGGCCTGTGCAAGCACACACACATGTGCAAGGTCATGCACGAACACCAGGTACACCCACAAGTACACACACATAGTCTCTGTCCATGGCAAAGACACCCCAGCCCCCTCCGGCCGTCAGAACCCTTTGTCTCAGAGGTCAAGCCCAGACACAGTTCCTTCCTGGGCCTCAACTTCCCGAAGCCTGTCTCTCCCACCCTGTTGAGTCCTTGAACCCCCACCTTCCCAGGGGGCTCTCCCCTCCAGAAACACACGAGGCCAAAATTTCTCCCCTCCCAGACTCTCATCCCTCCCCACTCCGAAGCTGGGACCACTCCCATCTCCTCTCCTGCTGCTCCCACCCAATGGGGGCCTCCCACCCATCCCACCAGCAGGCCTTTCCTCCTGACAGCCCTGGGCTGGAGTGGTTTGGGAAGAATTTAGAAATGGAGGGAGGTGGGGGGATGGGGATAAAAGAAAAAGGAGGAAAGGTGGTGACTTGTACACAAAGCGATGTGCTGGCTCAGCAGTGGGGCGTGCCAAAGCGCTCTCGGATGCCTGCCCAGGGGGCGCCCCGATCACACTCGACCCCCACATCCTGGGTGTTCCACTGCGCCCTCTTCAGGCCAGCCCCTCTGCAGGGTGCCTTCACCACCACCCCCACGGGCCCACACACTGCATCCAAAACCACCGTCCGGCTTGGCCCAGTAGCTGGAAGACAAGGCTCCTTCTGGGGAAGGGGGCTTCTGTTTTCATGAGCCCCGGAGGTGAGCTCTCCCTGTAAAGGCCAAGATCAGAGCAGGGAATCCCAGCCTGTTGACCCCTATGTAAGCTAAGCCTGGCATCCCGAGCTGTTCCCACCCCAGCCAGGGAGACACATTGGCCACAGGACCCAACAGAGAAATCAGACTGTGTGGTAAGCATCACATATGGTCCCTGTCCTGGTGGCCGAGCTGTCCCACCCACCTGGGCCTCACTCCCACAGATCCAAAGAGTCACATTCTGAGATTGCTGTTTACTGAGATGGCAGCTAGTTATGA